TTTCCCTTGTCTCTCTTTCCCTCTATTCGACTCGTAAGTGTCAGATTCTCCAGGCCTTCCTTCCTCATTATGTGTCCCAAAAGCTTTAGCTGTCTCTTCCTGATGTTAAGTATACGCGTCCTCCTTGTTTGCATCCTCTCTAAGACCTCATCTTTGCTCACACGATCGGTCCATGATATCATTAGCATCCTTCTGTAGAACCACATCTCCTGCCTTACTCAGGTGAATTGGGATGCGGAAATATACTGGTCGTTAGACTACAATCAACTCTCACACTGCCCCATGAAGACGCATGGACACCGCGACGGCCGCAACGGTGTCTACGGCATCCAGTTGCTGGCTAAATTATTTTGCGGAAGGGATTCCTGACCCGACCATTGAAGGGGAACGCTTCGCTCCAACACGCTATACCTAGTGGTCATCGGCGAGTCGCCAGACTGGGCGTAGGAATTGCGCCTCTGGGGTCAACGGCTTTACCGGAGAAACTAATGAAAGGAGGGGCGGTGTAACAGCAACATCCTCGGTGCGAAATGAACCGGCAAGACATTGTACTATATTCTTCGAGTTTCACCATGACCCACGATTACAATAGAAATCTAGGGGAATGGTGACTAAAATGGTAAAAAATCTGCTAACTGAATGAATGAAAAGCAAGTGAGGAAAATAGACAAACCATGAAAAGAAATACAAAGGAAAAAGATAAATCTTTTATAATGATCTGATTTCTGGCCATTTCTCAGGATATATTGTTAGTTTAAAAAAAAATGACAACAAAAAGAAAACAAAAAAACATACTTAATATCAGGAAAAGGCAGTTGATATTTCTGGGGTACATAATGAGGAAGGAGGACTCGGTAAACTTAATACCCACAGGGAAGATTAAGGGAAAGGGGGTCAGAACTAAGCAGCTCGAAACATACTTGATGACATCGAGTAAATGGAAGGTAGTACAAGGAACAAGAAGATGATGAGGGCCATAATCGCTTACGCCCTGAGGGGACAACCCACATAAGAGAAAAAGAAGAAACTAATCTTGTTATGAAGCATCGGTGAGCCTGAGTTCGAAATCCAATCGAGTTCGTTACATTTACTGACGTTCAAATACCCTTGGAAAACGTAAGAGTATATATCTCCCCACCACCTATGGGTAAATAGTCTTCGAGGGCAACCGGTAAAGGAGAAAGACAACTCTAAATCAAACCTTCTACTAAGGCTCACCAACCTGCAATTGCTCAAGCACGCTGAGTACAGCTACACCCTTAAAGACATGGTCAATCATATCCGTGTTCCTCCAACGTGGGAGATCCTGGTCTCGACCTGGGGATGTTCTATGGAAATTTGGTACCTTTAAGCTAGTTTCACAGATCAATTATTACTGAGTAGTCAGTTCGGTCCTCACTAGGAAACCTTGCACGCATATCTGTATTTTTTCTTTTATGTTACGCGCTCTTTCAGGAAATGGATGATCATTATTCTCCAAAACTTCCTATTCTAAGTAAGGATTTTCACCTTACTTTCCCACAATCCATATTCATTTACACATGCTCGTTGCCTCCAGCTGGCCATTTTGTCTTCAATATGTCTTGTGAGTATCAAATTCTCCATGACTACTTCGTAAATGACATTCATGAGCACGTGAGAAACAAAATTTATGCTATACCTCACCCGCGTAGAAATGTGTGTAAATACTATCTGATCTCTCTACGTTTGGCTACCGTAGCAGAGCAAAAACCGCACATCACAGCGTGAATTTTGTTAGGAGAATACAATTAAAAACGTTAAAGCAATTTCCATTTCAATCTGAAACTTAATCGAGAGGGTATGTGTTTGCTTTCAGTCCAGTAAGAACTATTCGATTATTATGTTTTGTGAACAGGAAATCATATCAACATTCAAAGATAATACGATTTATAGAGGAAAAAAAAAAAAAAAAAAAAAAAATCAAAAGCAAATTAATGCAGAAAATTATAAATGAAATAAGAAAGTTTTTTTTATTGTAGCAGAAATATTTTATTACATTTATCTAGAAATAATATGTTTAAAAAAGTGAAAGCTTCCTTACGCGAAAATTAATAATCATTTTTTGGTGTTTATTTCCTCCACTGATGAACAGTTTAACATTTCATTATAAACACCAGGTGAAACAGATTGTCCAAATCGCGTGACAGCAAAAATGTCCATTTGTTATATTAAGATTTTACCGTTGTATCTTAGAAATGATTAAAGATACTTTACTGGAATTTTACGAGGTTTTTATAGCACTACTTGATTCTACTTTGAGCAACAATAATGCATAATTACCCTCTAAGCTTAACAGAAGAATCGTGATGAAATCAATCATAAACGAAATGACATGTTCATCAGTAATTAATCAAAACTAAGGATCGGAAGATCATAAAAAATTAAAAGTTCAAATATATATATATATATATATATATATATATATATATATATATATGTGTGTGTGTGTGTGTGTGTGTGTGTGTGTGTGTGTGTGAGAAATATATAGAAAATAGGAAAGAACTCGTTAGGTAAATAATCCAAAGTTCCTTAGTATTTTTGTTATTATAATAGTGCTCGATACAAAAAAATAGAGCATAAATATAATTATTATTATGTAGCGTGTTGGAATCACATTTAAAAATATGATTCCATTATATATATATATATATATATATATATATATATATATAAGAAGAAATATAGTCTTAAGGTCTGCTATATTTATGGGATAAAGTGCTCGATATCAGAGATAGAGCGTGTGTAAATATAAAAGTGAACATAGAAGTCAAAACTTAGAGGCGACAGTCTGTTTTCATGCTATATGCAATCGTCAGGCCGCCTGACGATTGCATTTATATATATATATATATATATATATATATATATATATATATATTTGGTTGTATTGAATATATGTTACCTCTATCTCTGATATTGAGCGCTTTCTAATACGTAGCGCATATAATATATAAATAATTATATATATATATATATATATATATATATATATATATATATATATATATATATATATATATATATATATATATATATATATATATATATATATATATATATATATTATTCAGGATCATTTTTCAAATTATTCAAGATGATCTTCGTCCTCTCTAACCTTCTACCTTTCTGTCCTGGAGTAACAAGTTGCTCACAGGTTTGACGAACGATTTCATATGAAGTCATTTTTCATACTATCATAGCATAAACTCCTCTCTCACTTTCGAAATTTCTTTCCTCTAAATTGAAATGATGGCCCCCTCTTCCTGTTATGACCTTCTGATCCAGTTTTCCGCTCTACTGTTTCCACTCTCGATTGGACTTTGAAGATGGAAGCATTGGTACCATTACTGAAGGTCCGACTGATCTTTTTCCTCTCACCATAGCTCTTTTTGGAAGACAGTGTGGCTAGCACAAAACGATTTTAAATTATGCTCTTTCTAGCTGAATAAATCAAAGGTTTTTTTTCCAGTGATTATTACGATAAATGGTGTCAACATGGCTAAACGTCTTGTCTGAAAACAACAAAATATATAATAGACTCGTTGTTTTCGGTGTGTGAAAATGTTATTAAAGAGAGAACAATAAAAGAACAGGAATTAACAAGATATAAGTTAACGATTGACATTGCAATTAAATGTTTGTATTTGACTGAAAAACAACAAGCCTTAACAGAGTTTCACAAGCGAGAAGTACGATAAATTTCTAACATAGAACTTACGGTTACATCTAGCCGTTTCAACTACAAAATGACGACACTTTGTTGCCAATCTAGTCTTCTTCTCGCTTGTGAAACTTTTTGTCAACTTCAAACATTTAATTTCAATATCAATCGTTATCTTATGTCTTCTTAATTCTTATTCTTTTACTGTTTTCTCTCTTTAATAATATTTTCTTATTTAAGTATCTCAAAAGTGTTTTAATACACTACAAAAATATGACACCGAAATCCGAAGGTATATTGAAATAAGGAATGTTGCCTTCCAAAAGCTAAACAAAGTATTAAGATGCGGGAAAAATTCAGTAAACACAAAGTACACAGTTAAAGCTCACCTGTTTTGTAGTATCATCCCATTTTATTTAACAGTGAATACTGGAAAGATTTTCACACAGCTGAAGAGCAGATTTGTTGCAATAGAGATGTGTAGTTCTGCAGAAGGATACTGAGAATGCCACAGGCGAAACATACGAGCAACGAGGAAGTTTTAAGGAAAATAGGAACAAAAAGGACATCAGAAAGAGATATTTGAAATTACTGGGAAGGATGACTTGGAAAATTTAAGACTCACACAACATTTTAATGGCAAGAAAGACAAGAAAGTTCTGAGAGTGATGGTAAACACTGGCGCAGAAAGAAATTGTTGAGTGCTATGATTGCCCAAGTCTTGGTAAATGTAACGCATAAAAAGGAAAATATATATGAAATATCTTTTAACAATAATGTTTTTCCCGATTAGGGATTAGTAGTTGACATTTCTAGGACACATAATGAGGCAAGAGGGCTTTGAAAATTTGATACCCACTAGTCAGATTATTATTGTTGTTGGTATTGATGATGTTGTAGAAGAAGAAGAAAAAAAAAAGAAGTTTGCATAAATTTAATGTTCAGTTTCGGAACGAGAACAGGATCTGAAGAGAAAGAGTGAACAAGATAAAGAAAGAAAGAAAGTAACGAAAAATGTGAAAGAGAGAAAAATATATAAAGAGACAAGGAGAACGAATATTGATTGGTTTGTTTTTTACGGCTTATCAACCTTTTTTAATGTTATTTAAAGGCGCCAAATATTTTTGGGCTTTAAGAATTTTTTAAAGATAATAATCATTTTCTGTTACAAGCCCTACTATTTAATCCATAGCTGCGGGGGTGAAAAGTTGGATTCATACCAGTCCCAAGGGTATTTGCCCGTAAGTGAATAGAACGAACCCGACTCTCCGATTTCTTATTCCAAACCGTTATCCATTACACCACCCGCACGCCCAAGCCTGATATTCCCAAGTGGTCACCCATCTAGGTACTGAACAGGCTCGACGTTGCTTAACTTCGGTGATCGGGCGAGAGCCGGTGTTCAGCCTGGTATGGCCTTAAACCCAGGGGAAGAAACAGAAGCAGAATAATTCACAGTAATTTGTCGTAAGAGAGAGGGGGGAGAGGGGGGAGAGAGGGGGAGAGGAGAGAGAGGGAGGGAGATAGATGGGGAGAGGGGAGGGGGGAGATGGGGATGAGATGGGGGAGAGAGAGGGGGAGAGGGGGAGGGGAGAGAGAGGGGAGAGAGGGAAAAGGAGAGAGGGGAGAGAGGGGAGAGAGAGGGAGAGAGGGGAGAGAGAGGGGAGGGAGAGAGAGAGGGGAGATGGGGAGGGAGGGGAGAGAGAGGGGAGAGGGGGAGAGAGCGAGTATGTGTTGGAAGGAATATAAACAGTGTGGAAGGAATATAAAGATTGAAAGAAAAACGAACAGAAAAAGACCGATATACAAATATATAGAAATGAGCAAAAAGGAATAGAAGAAGAGAGAGAGAAAGGGGGAGAAAGGAAAAGAAAGAGAGTGACATGTAAGAGACAGAAAGCACCTAAAGCAATATGAGGCTCAGGAAAACCGAATTAAAAGGTGAGATAAATAGGGAAAAAGTAAGTATGCATCTTGGTGGTGATGGCGATCGTTGTCGTCATCAAAGAGAGAACCAAATCAAAGAAAATGCGTCGTATTCTTTGATCGTGACTGTGTTGTGGAATCTGCCTTGCCAAGTCCGATGCTGGTAATTCTTAGCACGGAACGGATTTACCGATGCAATGCTTTTATGATCAGTGACTGTGACACGTTCCTTGGCTTCTCTTTGGCGTTGCCGAGACATCTTTAGGATTAGAAAACAGCCAGATCGAATGGTTCCACTTTTAGCCCGAGAGAGAGAGAGAGAGAGAGAGCAATAATCGTAATGGAAGAAGTGGTACATGTAGAAATAAATAGATAGATGAATACCACTGGGGATAATGGTGCTATCTTGATACGAGTGATGTTCATGTTAAAGACGTCTTCAATTGTGGTTGCCTCATCAAATGAAATTTTTGTTAGAATTGTAATTTCGCTGAGATCATAGCTCGCACCAAATTCATATCCTTTGTAGATATAATAAAAAAAAAAGTGTCCGTTTAATATCCCTCCCAGACTTCTCTTGCCTTTCTTCGCTTTTGAATGTCCTATGAGTCTTAATTATTGTTAGAATTGTTATTTGAATTTTCCCGATGAACTATTGTTGGTCATTATAATTTTGTATGCGTATGCGGGTTGTAAGGGGAATTTTTGTCCGATCCTGCGGGTTCGGATCGCCCAACATAACAATCGGCCTTGTGACCCGTCCTGTCTAGTGGGTAGGTCGGGTAAATACCGGCTTGCTTTTCCGCTTCACATGAACTTGTAAATATTTACTTGTATTGTTCTTGTTTAAAATAAACCCTTATACTTTCTAAGATGGCGCTCGGGGTTGTTATTTCTCAATAACAACCCCGGACAATAACACAAAACTGACGATGAGTTAATTGGAAACAACTCAACTTCATACGAAGCGGCTAGTTCTTTAAGTTAGTAGCGGACATTTTGATTTCTTCCTCAGAATGGACAAGGAAGAAACACTTGGATTTTCACGGATTCAGGACTTTTTTTTTTCTTTTTTACTTCTTTCAAAGTAATTTTCTTTTTCTCTGTGAAAATAATTAACCGAATTTTTATAGTTATTTTGAAAAAAAAAAAAGGAAAATATAGATTGTTTTCGTAACAAGTTGCTTCGAAGGAAGAAAGACTTATTTCGTACGAAAACCATTTGGAGACATAAAAAATTGTTTTCGTTACGAAGTTGTTTTGAAAATGGATGAATTATTGACAGTAATGAAGGGTTTTTTTTTTTATTGTGAAAAACAAGAAATTACAACAAGAACAGAAAATTAAACAAGACGAAATGTTACAACGTATCTTAACGCAATAGTCTACATTAGTAGAAGCTTTGATACAAAAGAAACCAAGCGAACACAACTCGAGTTTTTTTTTTCACAGCTGAGGCTATTGCGAATTCAATTACTGAATTTAAATATTGTCCAGAAGATGTTAATACGTTTCCAACGTATTTTAGAAAATATGCCGACAAATTCAAACGGGAATGTGAAAAGTGGATGGACAAAAAAGACAGCCAGGTTCCTTTTGCAAAAAATTAGGCTCAGACGAAAATAAATACGAGAATTTTATACTTCCGAGAAAAACTAGTGAAAGAAGAAGAAACAGTCTAGAAGAAACAGTCTAGAAGAAACAGTCTAGCATTTTTGGAGAGAGAAGCTTCTTATTTCATACTCGTTACAAATGTTTAAAAATTGCTGAAGACGACGACGAGGATTTTGTTACTTATATTGTAATTGTGAATCTAAATTGTGAACGTTTTTTGTTGCATGAACTAAATTTTGAGATGTTCAAATGTTTAATTTTTGTACGTGGTCTTACTTCAACCAAAGATGACGATTCATGAATACTGACTAAGTTAGAACATAATATATAACGCTTCACAAAGTTACTGAAGAATGTCAGAATTCTAAATTTGAAGCACGATAGCACAATAAAAGAAAAAAGACTTTTCAAATGTACATTCTGTTCGTCCTAAAATACGACAGCAAAATATTGGAAAAAAAATTGTTCGAAACCAAATCTATGTTTTAGTTGCGGAGGTTACATTTCAAAAGTGAATGTTTTTTGGCGTAATAACAGTTGTTTTCTTTGCGGAAATATAAGACATTAAATTATCATTGGGAAAAAAAGAACCCTTCACCAAAAAAAAAAGTCAAAGAAAGAAGTAACGTAAATATAGGGTTATCAAGACGAGAAATTGAGGAGAGTCAGAAACGTAATTTTTTGTACGTAAAAATTAATAATGAAAAAGTTAAACTCCAAGTTAACACCGGAAGAGATATTTTGATTATTAATGAAGAAACATGGAAAAAGCTTAGAAAACCATTATTAAAGTAAACGAATAAGTTGGCATTTGAAGTGTCAGGAAAAGAAAGGAATTTTAAAGGCAAATTCACATGTAATATTTCATTTATTGGAAAGACTATAAAATCAAAATTTTTTTTCTGCTGCAAAACGCTTCCAGTCTATTTCGAACTGATTGGATTGTTTTATTCGATTCATGGGAACTGCTCATAAATTCTTTTTGTAATAAAATTTCCCCTCTAGCACAAATAGGGTAGCAGAAAAATAATGAAAGAGCTGAAAGATAAGTTTTCTGAAGTATTTTCATATGGACTTGGAAGATGTACAAAGACGAAAGTAAAGTCTGAAGTCAAGGAAATTGTGAAACCTATTTTCAGGCCTAAAAGAAATGTGCAACACTCAGCTTTGGAACCAATAAACAAGAAATTGGGGCGCTTGAAAAAAAAACATGGGTGTCATCTCAAGATACGTATACTTGGACTGGACGTCTGCGACAGTATACGTACAAAAAATAAAAAAAAAATCACGAAATACGCGATTGCGCAGGATATTTCGACTGACTTCAATGATTGTAGGAAAGCACACATCTACCCATTAGCAGCAACTGAGGACATTTTTGCAAAGTTAAATAATGGAAAGCGATTTCTTTTCGAAGTTGGATCTATCAGATGCGTACCTCCAGATACAAGTAGATGAATAATGCTCCAAATAATACACAATGCACACAATTGGTCGTATAAATTTCATCAATTTCCGTTTGGTGTGAAGGTGGCACCTAGACTTTTTCAACAAATTATGGACACGATGCTGGCTGATTTCTATTTTGCCATTGCATACCTCGACGATTTGTTGATAAAGAGTGTACATCGAAAGCAAATTTGGAGAACGTAAAAAAAAGTATTCGAAAGAATAAAAGAATAAGGTGTCAAACTTAGCGCCGAGAATTGTGATTTTTTATATTCAAGATAAAGTACCTAGGAGAAATTATTGACGAAAATGGAAGAAGAAACGCTTCAAGAGCAGAGGCAATAAAAGGCATACCAACTCTAGAAAATGTAACCACACTACAATTTTTTTTAGGGCTCGCAAATTATTATGATATATATATATATATATATATATATATATATATATATGGTGTCTTATCAAGTGATGCAAAACCATTCTGGAGAAAACCAACTAATCCATTAAAAGCGCCACTGGATTCTTACAGCGGATTAATACCGCGGACGTCATCAAAGGGTTTACTGGTATCCAAAATAAGAACAACTTTCATACAGTTCAACATTATTGACTACTATCCATCCGTATCTAAAGATCTGTTCACATTGGCCTTGGAGTTCGCTCAAGAATACTCTAATATTTCTTGGAATGAAATGGATATAAACTTGAAATGCCGAAATTCTGTTCTGATTTAAAATGAATAACAGTGGATCAAGAAGACTTCCAGTGAAAATTTTGACATCTCGATGGGTTCTTTAGATTCTGCTGAAGCCTCAAACTTGGTGGGATTATTTCTTTTATACAATTTAAGTGCCTTTGAATGCTTAGCTACTGATAGTGTGGGACTATATAGAGATGATGGCTTATTAGTACTTAAAGACTACAAAAACTAAGAAAAATGATCCATAGAGAGTTTAAGGATGTAGGTTTTAAGACTATCGGTAAGACCAACAGGTAGATTTTCTGGATGTCACCCTAGACCTTACTAATAGCTCTTTTTTTAACCTCATGTGAAATTTAATTCTAACCTAGTATATGTACATCGTAATTCCAACCACCCCGTTTCTGTTACTAAGAAACGAAGGCACGCAGATTGTTAGTCCCGGTTGAGGCCAAGTTTTATGAACCACTGGAAGACATGGTGATAGCCACTGACAGTGGACGAAATCAAAATTAAGGCTGAAAAAGATGATTTCATTTAGAAGAATGAAAAAAAAAAAAAAAACTGAGAAAAATAAAACAATTCCTGGAAATACACCATTCTCAATGTATGCCGAAGTACAAATGTACGCGGATAGAATAGTAATGCCTTTTTCTCTTCAAAAAAGGATTTTGAAGGAATTTCATTTAGGTCACTTAGGAATATCGCGTATGAAATCTCTAAGTTATACATATTGGCCACGGATGGAACAGAATATTGAGAAAGGAGTTAAAATCTGCGGAGTTTGTGCTCTTGCAGTGAAATCCCCATCAGTGACATTTTAACCATGGCTCAAAACGGATAGACCATGTGCCAGTTTACACAGATTTTACGGGACCATTAAATGGGTCATATAATCAAGTAGTTGTAGACAGCTACATAAAATGGCCTGAGGTTTTCAAATACAGAAGACCTACTTCGACATTTCCAATAAGTTTTCTTCAGGAGCTTTTCGCCCGTTTTAGTGTCCCCGAAACGATTCCTTGGCGATAGAACATATCGCTAGGTCTCCATGCCATCCAAGATTCAACGATGAGGGCGAAAGATTTTTCGATACATTCAAGAGCTTTTAAAAAAACAAACGGCATCGTGACAGAAGAGAGTAGAATACAATATTTTTTGAGTGTGTGTGTAGAATAACTCCAAATATAGTATCAGGGAGGGTGCCGACTGAACTGATAAGAAAAGATAGATCGGTATTCGATAAACTACTGCCAGGACCAAAACAAAAAAAGTTCAAATAACAGAAGAAGAGAAATTAAATATTTCAGGCTTGAGGATAAAGTTTTCCACAGGATGTTTAAAAGAGGAATAGAATTTTGGAAAGACTGTATTACTAGCAAAAGGGTTGGGAGAGTAATATACATGGCAAGCAGTGTAAAATGGGAGCACAAAAGACGCATAAATCAATTGAGACATAGATTCACTGAGGATGTAACTGCACGAAAGGAAGTACCGATGACTGTACTTTATGATATTTTCGACGTTTCAGTTCCATTGACTACTGAAATTTTAGTCCCAAGACGGAACAGTAAAAGAAAAATAAAGCGTGTAGAACCCTTGAGTCAAGATTCAAAAAGAAAAAGATATTAATTTTCTGAGGAAAATAATCTCTAGGGGGAGGTGT